TTTTGCAGGTCCACGTCTTCATATAGCCCCCATATAACGGAACCTCCCAATTTCCTGTATCTTGATGATTTTAGCGACATTATTCACCGGAATTGTTCCAAATTTGGTATTTGATGTTCGTAATGGGTGTTACAGCCTAAGACAGAAAATTGTCTGTGCATGTCCACGTCTTCGTATAGCCCCCATATAACGGCTCCCCCCGATATTCGGTATTTTGATGATTTTAGCTACATTATTCACCGGAATTGTTTGAAATTTGGTATTTTATGTTCGTAATGGGTGCTACAGCCTAAGACAGAAAATTGTCTGTGCAGGTCATGTCTTAGTATAGCCCCCATATAACGGAACATCCCGATATTCGGTATTTTGATGATTTTAGCGACATTATTTACCGATTTTTTTAAGTTTCGCATTTGAACATTGTGATGGCTTATGACAAAAGTTACCTATGCATGTCCATGTCATCGTATAGACCCTAATATAACAGCTGCATTCGGTATTATTAAGATTTGAACAGAATTTTTAACGGATTTTATTGTTTTTCAGAATTGCCAAATTCGTTCCAAATGGTGGAGGGTATTCAAAGTTCGTCCCGGCCGAACGTAGCATTTTACTTACTTGTTTTGGAGAGAAATGGGGTGGATATGATATGGGCTCCTAAATATACCTTGTGTGACAAAAAATATTTTTTTTTACCTCCGTGCCTCAGCAATAAATATATCTTCCTCTGAAGATACCTAAATAAAAAAATGTAAATTTTTTAAATTTAAATCCGAATTTTTTGTAACTTCAATTTTGGGAGTCTCAGAGGCTATGTAACCTTCTTCAACTGATTGCCTACACATAATCCAGAAGAAATAGCTTGTACTCTCTCCTTCTTCACGAAGAAATAGCTTGTACTCTCCCACGTCTTCATATAGCCCCCATATAACGGAACCTCCCAATTTCCTGTATCTTGATGATTTTAGCGACATTATTCACCGGAATTGTTCCAAATTTGGTATTTGATGCTCGTAATGGGTGTTACAGCCTAAGACAGAAAATTGTCTGTGCATGTCCACGTCTTCGTATAGCCCCCATATAACGGCTCCCCCCGATATTCGGTATTTTGATGATTTTAGCTACATTATTCACCGGAATTGTTTGAAATTTGGTATTTTATGTTCGTAATGGGTGCTACAGCCTAAGACAGAAAATTGTCTGTGCAGGTCATGTCTTAGTATAGCCCCCATATAACGGAACATCCCGATATTCGGTATTTTGATGATTTTAGCGACATTATTTACCGATTTTTTTAAGTTTCGCATTTGAACATTGTGATGGCTTATGACAAAAGTTACCTATGCATGTCCATGTCATCGTATAGACCCTAATATAACAGCTACATTCGGTATTATTAAGATTTGAACAGAATTTTTAACGGATTTTATTGTTTTTCAGAATTGCCAAATTCGTTCCAAATGGTGGAGGGTATTCAAAGTTCGTCCCGGCCGAACGTAGCATTTTACTTACTTGTTTTGGAGAGAAATGGGGTGGATATGATATGGGCTCCTAAATATACCTTGTGTGACAAAAAATATTTTTTTTTACCTCCGTGCCTCAGCAATAAATATATCTTCCTCTGAAGATACCTAAATAAAAAAATGTAAATTTTTTAAATTTAAATCCGAATTTTTTGTAACTTCAATTTTGGGAGTCTCAGAGGCTATGTAACCTTCTTCAACTGATTGCCTACACATAATCCAGAAGAAATAGCTTGTACTCTCTCCTTCTTCACGAAGAAATAGCTTGTACTCTCCCACGTCTTCATATAGCCCCCATATAACGGAACCTCCCAATTTCCTGTATCTTGATGATTTTAGCGACATTATTCACCGGAATTGTTCCAAATTTGGTATTTGATGTTCGTAATGGGTGTTACAGCCTAAGACAGAAAATTGTCTGTGCATGTCACGTCTTCGTATAGCCCCCATATAACGGCTCCCCCCGATATTCGGTATTTTGATGATTTTAGCTACATTATTCACCGGAATTGTTTGAAATTTGGTATTTTATGTTCGTAATGGGTGCTACAGCCTAAGACAGAAAATTGTCTGTGCAGGTCATGTCTTCGTATAGCCCCCATATAACGGAACATCCCGATATTCGGTATTTTGATGATTTTAGCGACATTATTTACCGATTTTTTTAAGTTTCGCATTTGAACATTGTGATGGCTTATGACAAAAGTTACCTATGCATGTCCATGTCATCGTATAGACCCTAATATAACAGCTACATTCGGTATTATTAAGATTTGAACAGAATTTTTAACGGATTTTATTGTTTTTCAGAATTGCCAAATTCGTTCCAAATGGTGGAGGGTATTCAAAGTTCGTCCCGGCCGAACGTAGCATTTTACTTACTTGTTTTGGAGAGAAATGGGGTGGATATGATATGGGCTCCTAAATATACCTTGTGTGACAAAAAATATTTTTTTTACCTCCGTGCCTCAGCAATAAATATATCTTCCTCTGAAGATACCTAAATAAAAAAATGTAAATTTTTTAAATTTAAATCCGAATTTTTTGTAACTTCAATTTTGGGAGTCTCAGAGGCTATGTAACCTTCTTCAACTGATTGCCTACACATAATCCAGAAGAAATAGCTTGTACTCTCTCCTTCTTCACGAAGAAATAGCTTGTACTCTCCCACGTCTTCATATAGCCCCCATATAACGGAACCTCCCAATTTCCTGTATCTTGATGATTTTAGCGACATTATTCACCGGAATTGTTCCAAATTTGGTATTTGATGTTCGTAATGGGTGTTACAGCCTAAGACAGAAAATTGTCTGTGCATGTCCACGTCTTCGTATAGCCCCCATATAACGGCTCCCCCCGATATTCGGTATTTTGATGATTTTAGCTACATTATTCACCGGAATTGTTTGAAATTTGGTATTTTATGTTCGTAATGGGTGCTACAGCCTAAGACAGAAAATTGTCTGTGCAGGTCATGTCTTCGTATAGCCCCCATATAACGGAACATCCCGATATTCGGTATTTTGATGATTTTAGCGACATTATTTACCGATTTTTTTAAGTTTCGCATTTGAACATTGTGATGGCTTATGACAAAAGTTACCTATGCATGTCCATGTCATCGTATAGACCCTAATATAACAGCTACATTCGGTATTATTAAGATTTGAACAGAATTTTTAACGGATTTTATTGTTTTTCAGAATTGCCAAATTCGTTCCAAATGGTGGAGGGTATTCAAAGTTCGTCCCGGCCGAACGTAGCATTTTACTTACTTGTTTTGGAGAGAAATGGGGTGGATATGATATGGGCTCCTAAATATACCTTGTGTGACAAAAAATATTTTTTTTTACCTCCGTGCCTCAGCAATAAATATATCTTCCTCTGAAGATACCTAAATAAAAAAATGTAAATTTTTTAAATTTAAATCCGAATTTTTTGTAACTTCAATTTTGGGAGTCTCAGAGGCTATGTAACCTTCTTCAACTGATTGCCTACACATAATCCAGAAGAAATAGCTTGTACTCTCTCCTTCTCTCGCTATCTCTGCAGTTTTCAATCTTCTACAACGTCCTCCATGCGTAGGGTATCAGAAGTTCATAGCAACCTAACAAATATTTAAACTTTTTTCCAAACAAATCACAAAACGCCAAATGAGGAATTACAACAATGGCATTAACCTACTCACACGACACAAACACAAAATTCAACGGGAAATCCACTTCATGAATACGAAAACCAATCGCCCGAACGAACGACAGCGACAAGTTGAGATTTTAAGATTGTTAAGGGAGAAATCAGTACCCAACAAGGAATTCACATCATGTAATTTAAACATAACGAACAAGCGAAGGAAAACAAACGAATCGAATTGAAATTATGCAAATGTTTGCAAATTATATGAAATCAGAATGAATCACCCAAAACACACACACACACACACATACGCACCCAATGGGTGGTAAGGGGGTTAGGCGAACAATGGCAAAGCTGAGATTTGATTCGTTTGACAATGAAAGTCAAGTGAAAATTCAATGAAATTAGCATTTTGGAAAAATTCAAAGCAGCTTAAGGGCTTAAAGATTCCCTCAATTTCGTATTGATTGATGGTTATGGTGCGTGTGGAGGTTGGTCTGTAAATAACATCGATTCGAAGAGAATACGACATTTTTTATAGAATAACTTAAATAAAATGGAATGGTGAAGGTGGGTTTAAGGTAAAAGTAGAAACCTATTGTTTTTTAATAAAAATAAAAAATATTTGGAGGTTGAAATAGACCACAAAAATTTTCTCTGATTTTTCAGTTGCTCTACTGATCACAATTTTGTATGTTCATCCGACAATATTTAGGGAGTAAAATGGATCACAAATTCGGCCGCGACGATATTTTTATATCCTCCATCACTTTGTTTATCGAAATAAAATTAAATAACGAAAAAGTTGAATATATTAAGTTAGTATGGCAATCCGTTTTAACTAAAAACAAGTAAAAAAGCTGTGAGTTCCAAACTTTGAATAACCTCCACCCTTACTCCGTTACTGTTAAAATCGTAAAAATACCGAATGTAGCTGTATATTAGGGTCTATCAGGCATGTCACAGAAGTTTTACGAAATCGATTTATTTCACCTTTTCCAAATCGTTACGATTTGCTTTTGCTTCTTCAGCACTCGTACGTTTTGACTAATCCGGAAAAAAAATCATTTCACATTTTTGAAATAAAAATATGGTAACTCCACGAAAAAAAAGTCGTAAACAAATTATTGACAATTAAAAAAGGAGTTTAAATTGTTTTTTATAATATAAACACCAAAAGTAAAAATGCCAGGGGCTTCAATACTTGCTGTAATGGATGAAGAAATAAATCAGCGGTCTACTGAAAAAATTCGTGAGCAATGAGTTATTTTCAAATTTATTTTAATAATAATTTATTTCTAAAGATTTATAACTTATTATCGGCTAAATAAAGAAGCTTTTGTTTTAGTTTTAGAAAAAATTTCTCCCCACCTCAAACGTTCCAATATACCGGCTATTATCCAGCTTGCAACAACGCTTAGGTTTTTGGCTACGGGTGCATTTCAAGGAGTTATAGGTAGATCAATTGCCAATGTAGAAACATTATTAAAAGCAGCTGGAATGCATGATCTTGGTCTATCTTTTTTATTTAAAATCGAAGTGGTCTGCTTTGAAGTTGAGGGTGAAAAATTAAGCTCTTCGTTTTCAGATTCACTTAAAACTAATTGACTTGATTTTCGAGTTCTTGGAATATGTGTAGATGATGACGAATCAAAGTTTTCTTTTTCAGAACAACTGAGGTCTAATTCACTTACAAAATCCACCAACTCCATCGACACTTTTAAACAATCCGCAAATTCTGATTAAACTGTTCTCGTGTTCACTGAAAACATATTGATTGATATCACCACCACCAGTTCCTCGCAAGTCCTTTTTATTATGGCACATCTTCGCCTTAACATTTCCTTTCCAATCTGACCAAACTTTCTTCCATTCTTTACAGGTTTTACTTGGTGGACCTGAACTATTCAGCAAAGCTGTCAATTCCGTCCATAGAGAATCAACAACAACCTTATCACCTTTTACATAGCCCCTGGCAATATCGTGATGTTTATCCATAAAATTGATAAAAATTTTGTCCTGTTTAACGTTTCGGTGTTTGCCCCTAAAGTATAAAATAAATTAAATAAACAGTTTTTGACGAAAATTTAGAAATATGTATGTAAATACTTACATTTTTGCCCGATTGACTGAAGCGCTCTGTCTCAAACCAAACAATTAATTGTTTTTTTGTTTTTCCCCTTTCTTGCTTTTTGGTCTGTCAGTTGTACATTTCTACACCTTCTTCTTCAACACATATGGCAATAATTCAACAATACAAGTCTGCCGTTCATTTCTGCATATTTTTTTGCGTTTTCATCATGGATTAGAAAAATAATAGATTTTTTTGTAAAATTAATTCCAAAAACATGTTCGTTCTAAGAGAATTTGGTTGATACAATATTTTCTGTTAAATGTATGTGTCTTCTATTTATTTTTTACGTTAAAATCACTAAACATTTCAATTTCACCCTGCTTTTTGAAAGTGATATCAAAACGCAAAATTTTTGCGTTTTCCGTTTTTTAGAGAAGCTAAAACCGTTTTCGTTTTCACTCTTGAACGATTTTACATTCTGTGACATGCCTGTATATGTCGACGTGGACCTGCATAGGCAACAATTGCCACAAGCTATTACAATATACAAATTCGAAATTTGAAAAATAAAATCTGTTTATAATGTAGGTAAAATGATCAAAATACCGAACATCGGGAGGTACGGTTATATGGGGGCTATACGAAGACGTGGACCTGCACAGACAATTTTCCGTTTTGTACTGTAATATATATTTCGAACTTCAAATACCAATTTGGATACAATTCCGGTAAATAATGTCGCTAAAGTCATCAAAACACCGCATATCGGGAGGTACTGTTATATGGGGGCTATACGAAGACGTGGACCTACATGGCCCATTTTCAACACCAAAAGTCCTCCAGACATCATATACATTTGAGTAAAATTTTATCAATCTATTTCAACTCGTTCGGAAGCTAGGGTGACTTCCACAGACGGATAGACGGACGGACATTGCTAAATCGACATAGAATTTTATGCTGATCAAGAATATATATACTTTGTGGGGTCTAAAATGTATATTGTGAGGTGTTACAAACGGAATTACAAACTTAATATACCCTCCATACTATGGTGGAGTGCACAACAAGTAAGCAACGGCTGTGGCTGTGCGGGGCCGACTATGTGATATCCTTCAAAACTACAATATGTTAGAAGCCCTTTAATGTCCAAATCCATTTTGGAAGATTTCGCTTTTGAAATTATGTCACGGAGCACTGCTCAGTTATTACCCTTAGCATTTTGAACATGGACATTTGCCCAATACTTTCGCACTCTGTAATGCTGTTAGTTGTTGTGGTTCATTTTACAGCTAAGATAATCCAATGGTCATCCAAAATGCCAGAATTCTCCCCTGCTCTTAACTCTCTTCTCCGGCGAGTCGATTGGCTTCAATTGTGTGATCAGGACTTATTTTCTGTTTTTGGTTGATATGAATCCCTAAATATTTTGCCATCATCTCCAAAAGCAAGAAAACCCTTCGTAACTCCAAATATAGACTCATCTACATGATTTGCGTGTCTACGATGTTTGGCTAAATTCATCAACGAAATCAGCATTAAAAAGCCAGAAGTTCGCCTTTTGGTAATGCTGGTATTTTTTCACGCAAAATTAGTGATCCATTGTTCCCGTTGTCCTAAACTCTAACTTAATGCGAGATTTCGTGTAATTTGGTTTCTATTTGTGACCTTTGTAACGGCTGCAAAATCAGGAAAATTTTTAGTTGTTGGTTCATTTCAACCCCTTATATATTGCAGACATCTTGGAAAACAATAGGCCTAGCCCTTCTGAGCCCAACCCTACCCTTATGAAAATTTTCGTGAGGATCGGACGATAATTGCAATGGGTATATAAAAACCCCAACCTGTGTTCAATATTATAATTCAAATTAAAAAAATCGCATGCGATAAAAATATATCGCAAAATACTACAATATCGCAATATACTACAAAATTTATAACAATTAATTAACATCATTATTGGCATCTTTCTGTACGATTTTTTAGATTTTATTCTTTTACGCCAAGAGGGCAATCTAAATTGACAACATCGGTCCAGCCATTCATGAGATATAAGCAATCTATCTACCTATTTACCTATTCTTTTGTATATATTTCGCTATATATATCCGATATATTTACTATCGGCATCTACGTGATGGTCAGAAATGACCTGTTTGTCTATTTGTGTTTTCGCCAGGATTAAAAATATTCGCGGTTTAATGGAAAATTTGACTTTCATTTAACACAAATGTTATGGTCGATTTCACCCACTAAATATTACCCGATAACAACTGGAAGACTTCTGGCCAGCCCTAAGCTCTAGCTCCGTACTAACTTTAGCGTCAATTGGTCTATAATTGCAACCTGTAGCAACTGCAAAATCAGGAAATTTTTCAGTTTTTGATCCATTTCAACCCCTAAGTATTATGCGATCATCTCGAAAAGCAATAGGCTTCTATTTCGGCCCTCCATTATAAATTTCGTGAAGATTGAGCCATAATTGCGACCTGTAGAGTGATTACAAATTAACATGGATAGACGGACGGACGGACATACATAGCTAGATCGAGCTCGGCTAGAGAGGAGGATTCATATCCTATGTGGGAAACCAATATTTCGAGGTTTTACACAATTTTTGGCCCAATCAAACTTATAATACCCCCAACACGTAGTGTTGTAGGGTGTAAAAAGTGACCAATGACTCAATTTATAACATTTTAACGTCAGTATTCCTTATCAATATAAAATCGCATACCAATCACTATTTAATATAATAAATGCATTTTAAAAGAAAGCAATAACTTTGAAGAAATATGTAAAACAAAGGTTAACAATACACAAAAAATAGACAAAACTAAATTATGTAGATTTTTTGCAAACCATTGAAGGCACCATTCTATAGTTGTTCACGGACACAAATATATATATTTTTTTAATTTTAGCAATCATAAATTTTTTTTTATAAAGTTGAAAAGATCCAACACCCTAATTGTATGTAAAAAACCGTGATTGAAAAGTCATTGTACTTTTTCGCAGTAACTTGAACTTTCGCCGCCACAATCTATCTCAAGACTTTAGGTAGATATTAACGCAGAATTGTAACCAGACGACAAAAAATAAAGCCTCAAGAAAGAAAATAAAACAAATAAAAGTAAGAATGAGTTTGATACAACCCTTGCCATAAGTGATGGGATTTTGTCACAAAGGGCCTTTATTAAGGTATATTATAAGAATATATTTCTTTTTTTATTTTCGATAACTTAACAATATTTCGTGCTATAATTTGGATAACTTCAAGCCCTACATAAAACATACACATTTACATGAATGTCACAATATATAACCTAAGAAAATAGGTGTAATTGTAATGTTCAAGAATTCTAAAGATATCAATTATAACAGATACTGTATGTATTTTAATTCTCACATCACATTGCTAGGATAAGTGTGCCTAAGTTCGGCATGTCCCAATAGTCCCCTCTTTTTATTTTTAAGCCCAAATAAATGAAACTATTATAACTAAATGTATTTTGTTTATTGTCAGCTATCTTTGTGTACAATTTCGCTAAGAAACGATGATTTATTCTAATAAAAATTAAATTTTTGTCTATGAAGGTCCTCAACAATCCATATTCTTAAGAAAAGAACAATAGAGACTTCGAATCAGTTTAACTAAACAAAAGTATTATATTTTAATGAATTAATTTATTATTATTATTAGTTATGCTTACAAAAAAATTGGTATGCCGACTGTTGGAACATGCCATACCGACAATTGGCAAGTTGTGCCGACTACTGGCAAACCAGCATTGTTTTAATAAAACTACAAATTTATGAAATTTAATAAAAATTTATTAAAACTTTTTTCATTATTGCAAAAACTATACAAAATTTCAAATCTGAATAAATTAACTTTGTAATAATTGAAAATTTCCATTCAGAAATGTGAGCGATTAAAACGCGAAAATCCTAAAAGTGGCGACTACTGGTACACTTACCCTATGTGACGTATGATTTATTAACAAGCTTCAGTACTAGTACTTATACGCTTTTACACCCAGCCGTATCGAATTGGTATAAAATTCATTTGATGTAAGACTTTTGCTGGAAAATGAAGAAGTAGTGTTGTTTATGTGTGTTTATACATTTTTAAATTTCTAGCATTCCAGGAAGCGCTAAAAATAAGTTTCACAATAATTATGTAATGTTTTTTCCTCCTCTGTAGTATACCCAAACTTTGCATATCGCAATACCACAAATGATTCGGAAAATTTGTTCGGATGTTAAAGTCTTTGAATCATCGTCGTTTTCCAAAGTGAAAATAAGATTTACATCGTTCTAATCCATCTAAGCATTAATCCTACAATAAAAAGATACATTTCAAAATTTTGGACTAAAATAGTATTAATATTCCCTTTTTGCTAATAAGTATCAATTGTCCCTCAGAAAGTTGATGTTAATTCATATAGGGGGCCCACATGAGTAAATAAACTACAAATTTTAGGTTTAACAAGTATATATTTTTTATATGTTTGTCCTATGTTTACGCTCTCTGTCGTGCTGATCGGTATTCAAAACAATACCACAAAAAAGTTGTGATCCATTTTTACCGCTAAATATAAACCAATAGTCATCCAAAATGCTAGATTTCTGCTAGAGTTATGGTCGTTATAACCTGTTACATATTGTTCGATATCTTAAAAACAAAAGGTAATATTCTGATTAGCCTAAAAAACATAAATATTAAATATTTTGAAATCATCCCTAACAATGGGCATCTATTCTAAAAAATGCTAAATTTGGTGAGGATCGTATCATAATTGCGGCCTGTAGGGTGATTACAAATTAACATGGACAGGCGGGCGGACACACATAGCAAGATCAACCAAATCCCAAATTCTTTTACGGGCCAAACTTCTTCTTCACCATACAATAAACTCTCTACACTACGCAAAATTTCAGATAGAACCTCTTAAATTTGATACAGGCAAATGGGTTTTATATGGAATCATTTGTACAAAATATGTAAGAGTATACC